ATAAGGCTTGCATTGGAAGAATGTTGCTTCTGAGGAATTCAGACCCTTCTTTTTAACGATGATCCCTAGAAAGATGGTGTCACTGAATGTCCTCACGATAACCATGACAAGAGCAGTGAGAATATGGATAATGCATCTTAAAGAATCACTTTTTGGTTTGCAGGAGTCTGTGGTTTTGGTGCCGTATCAGTTCAGCAATGGCATGGCAGTTCCTATGGAAAGGAATCTTCCTCCTCCTCCAGATTATAATACGGTGATTTCTGCTCCAAGTCAGAGTGAAGAATCCACAACCAGAAGTGTGCAAAGTGATGCACCAGAAATCCTAGGAAATATACAATCTCATTCTCCACCTCTGCACACATCGCATTAAGCAGATTTCAGGACATTAAAACATATCCACCCTTTCCTCAAATATAATTCTTCCTCTATAATGGTGCCTGCTATATCACATGCCTGCATTCCCCTGAAGCAATCTTTAATCATAGCAGACAGCTTTGTCAATAAAACATTGAAATGTTGTTCCTTTACCAGCTGTGGTCCTGCATGAGCTAACCTATTAATCTGAGATGTATAACCTATGGACAGCCAGGTGGTTCGATATCCAGCCTATGATATTTCACATCTGTTTACTCAAAGATCCACCTGCATTTTTAGAATCTTGCTTTACAAAAATATTAAAATGTATATTTGCCCTATTAAAGCACATGTTCCTAAATTCATTTTCTTGTAAAAAAAAAAAAAAAAGTGTATTCCAAATGTATTTTGGCAGATTTGCTTGATCAGAAGTGCAAGGTCCTGTGGACAGCAAAGACCAGATCTACATATCCAGAACTGTGGATTAGGCAATTTATATCAAAATCTGGAAGGATCCAACTCCTCCAAATGCCACATTTCCAGTAGTCTTCTATTAGTATCACAGCAGTTCTTAAGTGAAGAGCAGGGGGATCCTCTCCAAAAACCTCTCCTAAAAAGTGCTTCTCTTCCAAAGTTGAATTCAACTGAGAGTGAAAATTAATGAAAAATCCATTTGATTTTATAAATGTTTCCAGAATTCACATCCGCAGCTCTAAGGAGATCCAGAATGCTCATATGTAACAAACTTGCTTTTTTTTTTTTTAACGTTCCAGTGCAATCTGCAACTAAAAACTCTATGCAGAATATGCACATTGGTTAAAATGTATATATATTCTGTAAATGTATACACAGATTTCTACCATGCTAAGATTGCACGGGCAAATGCAGGTTTTAAGAGAATTGGACAAAAGTGCCTACAAGATAGAAAATAGGCATGAAAGTGTTACTGCTTCACACCAGCTTGGACTGGAGAAATCAGGAATAGCTGTGATATAGAGCAGTACTGCAGTACTGCTTAATACCTCTTTGCCCCCATGTTTTCCTCAGTTGCCCTAGGAGGAAGCAGGGTTTTCAATCACAACATGGGGTCTCAGAGACAAGGAGAAACTTCACTCAGCAGGAAAGAGAAAGCATTCAGCCTTGTGTAACCTGGCCCATATGAGGATTGCAGATTCTTCAGTTCTTAACAAACTATTTCTCCTACAATCCACTCTACCCAGTCCCACAGACTGCATTTCCCTTACAGACACAAGCACCCCAGAGGACTAGATACCAACCTCACTCCTCTGTAAGGCTGATATACAGTGGGGCTTAGAGGTTTGTGAACTCTTTTGAATGTCCAATATTTCTGCATAAATATGACCTAAAACATGATCAGTTTTCCACACAATGCTTAAAGCTAAAGAGAACCCAATTAAACAAATAAACCAAAAACACTATACTTGCTCATTTCTTTATTGAGGAAAATGATTCAAAGCTATATATTTGTGTGTGGCAAAAGTCTGTAACACTCTAGGATCATCAGTTCATTTGAAGGGGAAATTACAAGTCAGGTGTTTCAATCAATGGCAAAGTCCAAACTCTTTATAAATAGTTTTGTCATCTTTTCCAGCCAGGGGAGCATCAACAACTGTTTTCCAGAGGTCCTCAGAAATCTCCTTTGCTGGAGCCACGACACACTTCCACATACCTGCAATGTGAAGACCAAACACTGAATACCCAGAATTCGGTTCTTTAAATAAGGCGGGATTCAGCCCTGATTATCATCCCCTTGATTTAAACACCTGACTCTAATTTCCCCTTCAAATGAACTGATGGGACTCGAATTAAAGACTGAAAAGCCTATGTTATAGTATGGGCAGAAATGTAAAATATTCTTCTTAGGATTTGGCTGAAGATAATTCATCAGAAAATACTGTTTTGTCTTTATTAGACTCACCAGAGAATGTTTAAAAAGCATTTCAAGGAGCATTTTGGGATCATTAT